GAACCAATTTAGGTTGGCCACGTCCTGATAGATTGTCAAGATAAAGAGAAACTCAAAATTACAGGCGCATTTCGTACCAGTCTTAATTGTCTAAATGCGAACTACGTACTAACTGATACATCATAAACAGTTATCCAAAAACGCCTCGTTAAGTGTGCAAGCTTAAGGCATTTCTCGTCTTGAACATTATATCCTGGAGCTAGGAGGATAGAGCGAAAAAAGGACGTCTGGATGATAAGTGGAAAGCCCAATGACAATGGTACACTTATCCTTTTAGCATCGTGACTTGAACAGCAAGCGTCCCTGTGCGCTTTTGTGCAACGCACGATTTCTTTTACAAATCGACTATAGTTTATCCATAGTCAAAGCAGTGTGACTCTAACAATGCTTCTGTGTATATTGCTATCATTCATATATATTTACCCCGAATTTTATGCGAGAAGCCCTTGTTAATCATTACCGTAATTAGAGGTAGAGAAACCGTTACAGAACGTACGCTGTACGTATCTGAAAACGTTCGCGCATACTGTAGCATATAGTGTTTGCCCCGTAGCGATCAGTTACCAGGCAAAACATTTACGGTTGATTATATATAATGGCGAACACGTTCTACTTCTATTTCTGGTATCATCATTATTAGCTAATCTATAATTATCTCAGTTTTAGTCATAATAATTTTGTATAGCAATAGCATAATATTCTATGACCAGTGATTTTCGCTATAATTAGAATACTTTTTTTTGTTATTATTATTTGTTATTCAAGTTGAAATGTTTTGAAATACTGCTGAAAATTTTATGGAAAGTTTTCATGAGTCTTGTTTTAAGCTTTTTTTTTTTTTTTTTTCTACATTTTTAACAGCGATATTAAATTCGTGCTTTCCAAAAGTGATTCATTGAAACTACATGCTAACAACGTTATATATGGCATGTTGCAATAACAAGTTTTATAGACGGTGGGTCGACGGCACGGGGGGTCGACGGCACGGGGGGTCGACGACTTTTGCAGGTATCGATCGATCGGATACTGAGAAAAAGATGCTCGATACTAACATGCGCAAGATGTGCCGTTCTAAAATTTGATTTCTCCGATATTTCCTACATTTTACGCAGAGGGAAAATTCCTGTTCATGGTATATTTAAAAGTCTAGGAGTTGTTTTCGACATGTATCTTAATTAATAGATTTTTCGGGACTACAGTAGTTAGCTTCCTATTTATATTCATCGTTGCAATGCGTTACTGATATTGTTTTCAAGATGGCGACAGTGCCTAGAGGAATGCATTGATTCAACGGATCACTTAACGGAGAGTCTTCGCGAAGGTGGAGTGTTGTTGGATCGTATGAAATCATATCCTTAAATGATTGGGAATTGGACAACAGTGTAGAATTTTTTTAAATGGACGATTTTCGCTATGGGCTATTTTTAAAAAATTCAAAAATCAATAGAAACTTCAGTAGAAATCAATATAACTTGTAGGAGCAGACAGGATGACAAATACGTATTTCCTTGTGGAGCTTGCACATGGTTATTTTCTAATCATATCTGACATTTGTGTGCATCTGGCTATAAGTAGATTGGTGGCATTATAAAAGTATTGCCCAGTTAGGTAGCTTCTAGGATAGAGTAAACGGCTAGGAGCTTAAACTAATTCTAACAAATTTGTACAGTGGTTGAGAGTTAAAGGAACTGAAGTAAACAAGAGATATATAGGTGCATTATAAATAAAGTTCTTAGTACTTCGTTCTTAATTAAGTATGGTTTACTTATCATGTAAAGATACTAGATAGAATACAGCATTGGTAAACAGTACTATACCAAAATCATTTCTCCTCTTGTGTTCTCGCACAGCCTTGAGCAGCAGTCCTCTCAAGATCGTTCGTTCGATCCCATCGAGTTAGTTTTCTGTGTGCCGTTACCCATATTCATTCTGCCGGCAGTCGGACCCAGCTTGCTTAACTTCTAGTTCAAGTTCAAGTTTCATTTACTTTTCGTGCGTTCCTATTTCTTGCTCATGCGTGCTTTTAAGCCAATACGTTAAGTTAAAGCTACACTGTTTCTTGGCAAATCTAACGTGACGGGATTGTCGTCTATAGTTTGCAACGTCAGAACACGGTGTGTCCCTTTCATCTGACGGTTTGTCTCACGTTTGCTTCGTGCTCCTGTGGCCATCGCCTTGTTCGCTGTACTTTTCTACTCGACGAACTGCCATGCCCAATATAGCTGTCGCGACATAATTTACGTGTATACGTACACAAAACCGTTTAGCTTCTCTACTTCATATCTTTGGCGTGCTCCAAAGCCAAAAGGTATTAACCTTAGAAAACTTACTGTCACACAAATGAGCATATGCTGTATCTCGATGGTATTTTTCAAAAGTATTAAACATCCAATAGCTTTTACACATATATCGGCCTGTAGCGGTTAGTCCGGGTTCGAAGAGACGCTGTTTAGGACGCGATTGTATTGACCTCATCTGCATTTATGAAATAGTTTTACTAAGAATTATAGAAATGTCAGTTCTCTGTCCACTTTCTAATTTCTGATGCTGGCCGAATCGATGATTTGGCGGTTCCTTATTTGCTCTTGGCTTGTTAATGTATTCCACAAGCAACGAGCTTGTTCCGCACTGTATTTTGTTTCGCGTATTTAAGCGAACTCCCCTCTTCTTTGCCCACTTTGCTTATTCTTTTTTTTTCTTTTTTAAATCTATTTTTCTACATAGAAAAATGGAGTTGCATGCTGATCAAAGTGTTCAAGGATCGTGTGGTTGGCAGGACTTCTTGTAGACCTCTTCTATTTGAGGCATCTTTGCTACTCGGTTTGCTTTATTTGCCTTGGCTCTTTGCCATCAAGAAACTGAGGCCAAGACATCTTAAGTGAAGCCTAGTTTTCCTGCATCTGTACGTTCTATCCTTCAATCTCAACTTCGGCATTGCATTTGACCGTTTTTGCTGCTGTCACTGTCACAGCAGGCGTTAGCAGACGAACAGACTGAATTCGAGTAACGTTTTGTAAATTTGATTACCTTCTCGCCACGCTTTTTCTTTTCCGAAAACCTCTCAAAGGCCGCTCCCATGACAAGCCCTTGCCAATCGGCATATCGTTTTCTGTCGAGCTTTTCCTCTACTCAATGCGTCTATCTGTCCTGGAAGGGGTTCTTTTACTCAATATTGATCTCTTGTTTTTCTTTTGCTTGAACTCACACGATGTAGCTTTTCTGTGACAGCTGTATCTATGTAGCACGAAAACACTAGAGAGCTCGTCTTGCCTATGTCGCTGATGGTCGACAACTGAATACTTCGTTCTCGCGTTTTAACCGCGATAAAACTCAGCTTACTGACGGACGCACAATTTTCTATCGCTGCTCAGCAGCCCTGTCTCCCATTGATTAGCAGGATTAGATTAGTAGAGTTGCAACACTGTTGCCTTGGCTAAGGCGAACCGGGAAGCAACGCGAATTCGAGGCGGCGTACGTGATACGACGAAGCTCAATGCAAGCGCAAACTGGAGACTGGGACTCGTACTAATCCGTACTAGGATCAGCGCTTCTGTAGAGTGTATGACTTCACATATCCTCAATGCTAACCGGGCATCTAGTACGATAGCGACGGGTGGTGTGAGGAAAGCCTTGACGACGTCGTCCTCGCCTACCTCCGTAGAGCTATCAGTCCGGCGAGCGACGTTGTTTACATACGCAGCAAGTTACAGCCCACGAAGTCTCCCTTCTGTATTTATGCTGCTTTATTTGTTCCAGCAGACGCCGACGCGCGTATTCACAGATATGCGAGACAAGTAAAAATACCTAGCTCATCGGGCACATACGGTTCATGTACGTTACGCAAAATAAGGAAGCACATAAGCAAATACGTGACGGAAAGTGTATTGTTTTTCAATTATGATATTGTTGCCTATGCCCCCGCACGGGGCAAGTTAAGAGAGGAGGGGATGAATAACCGAATTACGCTCTGATTTATCTTTACTTAACACTGCTGTGTTTTGCGCCAGCCTAAAGGACTCAGACATAAAGCGCGGTCGACGATCGTATCGTTCCCGCATCGGGGTCTGTCTCTCCAAGTCTCTTATAAGGAGTACGGCTTCTGAATGTGTGATGAACTGTTTGTCACAATGGCACGGTGTCCATCCGCTATTCTTGGTGCCAGATCTTTTCAAACCAAACGTAAAAGTCGTCACATCGAAACACAACGCGTCACTTTCGCAATTCTAACAAAAATAAGTTAACATCCAAATACTTTTATGTGCCAGACGAACCCTTCGTCAAATTTATTTTACCCTTCTGCCGGAACTAGAAATCTGCGTTATACGCTTTCTAAAAAATTCGAGGAAGATTTCGATAACGTAAATCGGAAAGAAAAAGCTTGACGGGTTTGAGATCTAAAGGGCTCAACAATCCGTTAGAACAGCTGAAAAAGACTATTTAATACATTTATGAAACTTATGGCTATTTTGGAGAAGGAAAATATCGACTGTCAATTGCAAATTAATTAATCTTTCTAAAACCAATTTGGATTTTTGGGTTCTCGCGTTTTTAGAACTTCTAACCTGCTGTCAATCTAAAATTTAACTCTATCGTTGTTTGTATCTAAGTGAGTTTATACCTAGGAATATCGCTTGGCACACGATTACTGAAAGTGATTTGCGGATAAATGAGGGAATGTTTTGAAAAGGATTACCGAGTAATTTAGCTCCCGAAGCTGTACTTGTCGTAAATAGTAACTGTATGGAATAAACATAACTGTCTATGCTAAATAATAAGGTATATTATTCTAGCGCATATAAAACATCTCAGCTTCAATTTAGATACGGCTTAATAACCGAGCATTAGTAAAAACGTCAATTTAGGTCCTGTACTCGGTATACAACCGTGGGCATGTTTAGATTCTTCTCGGTGTCTATATTTTTCATGTTGTCACGATAGGCGAACAATCTTTCATCTGTTGTTATCAATGTTATTGCTGTTGGCCGGATATTATCTTGCAGGTTCTGTGGGGATGAGCTTGCGGGAAAAGGATTTACATCAGCGGGCAGGAACCTCATAATCATCACTAGCAAGCTGGCGTCAAAATCCTCGTCGGCTTTCAAGGCAAACGTATCGTTCGAATAGAGTTACACTGAACAGGCAGATCGACAGTAGGGTGACGCAACCGCTGATTTTGTGACGTAGTCGAAGGCCGTGTGGAAACTGGGGGCATCCGCCACCGACGCGCTACTGGTTACTACCTTGCGAACACTCATTACGATGTCTCTTCTCAATTCTATTGAGCACGACAACATCCTGTTGTCGATTCTCGTCTCCCACTATTCAGTTTTCCGTCCATTTTAATTCCTAGACTCCCAAGCTCTCCCTGCTCGCCAGCAGCGCAGTTTGTCTATCCCAACTTTGTAGGTATGAGACCAGTCAGAAAGTGCACAAAGGGAACTTCGTTGTTTCTAAAACGCTGCTTTCTCTAATTTTTCCTACTACGTGCACTATGTATGATTGCCTACTGTTTGAAAAACTCCAGAAGTGAACAGATTTGGAAGACATCTAAGCGGCCCTTCGACGACAGCAAGGATACGGTAAATCATTGGCAATCCTCAGCTAGTGGCAACTGTTCGCCGAAATCAGGGTAATGAATGAAATAAGAATCTACTCGTACTTAGCAGGATCGTTATACGTTTATGTATGCGCATGTACTATTACGAAATTTAAACGAAAATAGAATAAAATGTAGCGGCAAAAATAGCAACAAAAGACCACCGCAAATTTCAACATATGATGGGTAGCTGCTGGTACACAGCCTCTCGCAGTGCGGATAATTCTATCCACTCATCCACCAGTATATATACATATATATCTGTCTTTTGTTCTACGTTAGCTTATATCGGTGTTCTTCACCATAGTGACCTTATTATTTGACTATAGTTCCTTTTAGAGGAAGCTGGAGTTTTGGTGTTGGAAGCATGCAACGCCTATAACGTGATGCAAAGCAGTGAAATTATAAGGGCTTATTTGTCATGTTGCTTGAAACGAACGTGTGGGCGCTGCCAATGGAGGTTGTTGTTTTCAGGGGTAAGGCATATGTTTCAAGTTAAAGGTACGTCAATACTGTCGCACTCGCTTATACTAATGGTCGCATAGTAGATTCTCAAACATTCTAGCTATCTATAACTATATATAATATGAATGTTTCTTCGCCCTATAGACGTATACGATCAGAACTAATATGCGCAGAGCTGCAGAACGATATAGGAATGACTGTTTGTTACTGTTTAAAATTGTGGATTAGAGGTGATCGTCGGTTTACGCCTAACTGGCGTTTCAGCCCGTGTTGATATGTACGCATCTACGAGACACTTCGTTCGTAAAAAAAAAAATAAAAAAAAAATAAAAAAAATAAAAACAAAAAGTTCGTAAAAAAAAAAGGCAATGAAACGTTTAGTACAAATCATACTAAGTAAGAAGTAAATAAACTTCGGATTAACTACTGTTAGGCTCCTTTAAAAGGTTTCGGCACGTCTCACAGATATTTTCTCGCGAAGTTAGCCAAATTTATTCCTCTCAGCGATTCGCCAAAGCGTCGCCGGTGCTACGGCAGTAAGCCCGTAACTTATTTCGTTATGAATTTTGGTACGTCGTAATTTTTTACTTACACCATTGAAGTATACGTTCAAACTCTGTCTCAATGCGTTTTTATTAGACATTACTTGAAAAATATAGGGAAATAAATGCCGGAAAGTTTAACAACTATATAAGCAACAAGTGCACACGAAAACTGTTTTGCTTCGCTGTTAAATACTACCGCATCTGCAAAATAAAATGTCACTAAGCTTAAGGGAGGAATCTTGATTTCATCTACCTCCATTGTTCTGAGGGCATTTTCACATACCATGTAGGTATAAATTGCCATGACGATTTTTCAATACCTAGGGTTTTAATTCGATACTGAGGCCTGAGTTTAGCGATGATAATTTCGCGCGAATTTGATTTCCTTCGACTAAACTCTCCTACAAGGTTGATGTTGTAACAGAGTATTGCGTGTCGTTTGGTTACACACATCTATCGAATTACGATTGAATCGCGCGCGTCTCACGATGTCGGCCAGGCTGCAATGCTGCATCGTGATTGTGGGTTTAGAGGAAACTCTCCAGTCAATGTTTCCACCGCACTTTAGAGCCATCTAGTAATTAGTCTAGAGGTAAACATATACTGAATCTGTCGAGGCTGCTGAACACCTGGCGCCACCCTCGTTCTGGCCTTGATAAACTCAACTAGGATCTGGGTGTATGAGACGAATCTTCAGCGATGTTCTATTTACATTTGAAATAGGCTTGTCTTCTCGTAAGAAACAGGGACTTGTGTTTTCATAACGTCACTAATAAGCAATTCTGTGATCTGGAGCAAATTGTTCGTAGTAACATTCGTAGCTTGTTAATAACAACTTCAAGGGCAAGATCGTGCCGTCTATTATGCAATACCGACTCACCTTAAACACGATCATCTTATTGTGCTCTATCATTCGTAAAAGTTAGATCGAAAAATTAATGCGGAAACAAGTTTGTTTTGCGGTGGCTTATATAGTAACCCGTCTTTTTACGCAGTCTTCGATAGTTATACTCATAGGTTGATATCGAACTGTTATACTGCTATACGTAGACACTGGCTTACAGCTAAACGTGACGCTTCCGTGACAGCCTAACGTGTCGACGGTAGGCCGCGTGATGTAGGTAGGTGAGCGCTGCTGAGCTCGAGATTTTTTCGATGACTATCTAAATCCAGTTGTGCTTATTTAGCAGAGTGCAGGGAGACTTTACGCTTCCAAGTAGTAACATAGATTTACATGGGAAAATGACGGTTCCTGGTTTTCGATCATGCGTCAGCCATATCATTGTAACCGCGTGGACCGCGCAAGTAATGCCTAAAGATATGCGTTTACGGTTAAAATAGTTGGAAGACGTTGCAAAATCGGTCAGCTAATATTCGTTACGACGACATGCGATGAGGTTCCCTAGGCAATGTAATAAATGATATGTACTCTCCCCGCCTGATGGTATCGTTTTGTTGCGCACCGGAGAGTTTTCGGCTGAGCGCAATCCTGTCTATGAATGCAGAGAACTGAATGCCAAATACAGTTTACTGTCTTAGAGTGGTTATGGTTGACACTCGATAACGTCTCGAAACAGCTTTCAATATTAATGTGGTATTTTTACTCAGCGAGCTGTCTTTTTTTTATGATCGACTTAAAAATATAGGCGTTAATTTTTTACTTATATGCATTTTCCGCTCTAACACATCATGTTGCATAGCTTAAGCTGGATATGTTAATAATATACTGGGAAGCATATGTGGTAGCGAAAAAAATAGGTGGCATATGAAAAAATGATACAATAACGATGTGTCAGAACAACGAGAACACTGGACAGTAGCTTGTAAATATTAATACGCTGTTTTTCAACTGCGTTCCTGTTTCCATGATACGATATAGGGGATCAAATAGCGAAGAGGCACCTTCTCTTTATCTTGAAGTAAGGAGGTCGATGATGAGGCGACCGTAACCACGGATCCGTATTTAGGAAGCCAAGTAACACATATTAGCTGGGCCGGAACTGTTTGGCAAGTCGAAACGTTCTGAATAGTCATTAAGTCACCTACCATTGGCTGAGCAAAACATGCCAGATACTTAAGTTCTTAGCTCTTTACAGTTATAAGCAGACTATCTGCCATCAGAAAACGATATGCCTAAGGGCATAGATAGCGTTAAGTAGCAGCTAAAATCGCTTTTTCGCAGATAAAATTTGGCGGAAATATGGAGCAAAGAAACTGCGCTATGTTACTAACGCTATAATTAGTCTAAGAACAAAATTAAGAAAAATGGGGAATTACAGAGAAGATAATAAATTTCAACACCTCTAACGGAAGGATGAGTTTTTCGGAGATCACGGAAGACTTCTTCGCGAGGCTGCCTCGATTCAGAAAACTCCTTGTCGGCTTCGTATAGAATCTCTCGAAACAGATGTTATGGTACTATGATGAAAGTATCGACTTTGAAGAACGAACGCAATCATTTTTGTTTCTCTTGACCTAACGTCTGCTATACTCTAGAGACAATTTTTGTACTTATTGCCTGCAAACATTTCGCCTGAAGTCTAACAATTCGTCTATAAACAAGACGTGCATCACTCTGGATCTCTCGGAAGAGAAGAGTCAGAGGAGGAAATGGCATCGAAGAGGAAGGGGATGCCTTCAGAAACGCTGTCGGATAAACTCACGTGTAACCTGGTGATGCCGCAATCAACAGTGCACTGTGTGCTTACTCCAGGACAATCAGCGACCTAACCGCCACGTCTCACTAACGGTCTGGATCGAGAAATGCTTTCAGCCTTCCTGCTGTTAAGGTGAGTCCGTATAATTTCGGTTTTTTTCATGCCTCAATGAGGGCGATAGGTAGCGTAAGTTCCACCGTCGATTCTTTTAAACAAGCCGATCGACAACAAGCTTACGTGTGGCAATGCAAATCACAAAAATAGAGCTGTTTGGAAGGCGCTAATCACGTAAACATCCAATATATCATTGGTCCCTTTTAATAGCTCTAGATGCTTTTAAGTTCCTCGCTCCCGCTAACTAGCTCCAGGTAGCCTAATATACCTCTAGAATACCTTGCTCGAACGACAGATGTGTTGCGTATGTATAGGATTACGGCGCTCGAACTGTCAAATCATCGTATATATATATATACATATATATATATGATTTGGCAAATCATAGATTTCGAAAACGTATCGATGGTGCATCATAGACTTTCTATATCACCTAGCATCGTCCGGATTTATTATCGTCCAGTAACAAGCGGCAATACATGGCGTTATCACTAGTCTCGCCGCGATGCCTCCAAAGATTTAGCTCATCTTCTGCTTTGAATGTATCACACGCATTTTAAATGAAAACGAGTATAGACAGGAAGAAGACACATAGGAGATTCAAATAATCGCCTCCAAATGCCGTTGCTACCCGTCGTTGCGTCTCTTAACGCTAGTAGTCTGTTTAAGCTTGTTTTAGCGCATGAACAGTCCTTTTCTGGCCGTTCTCATATTGGCACTCTACGCTTGACTCGTTATGCATTCGCGGTTACTTGTGCTTTCGACTTTTTCTAAACAGCGGCAAAGGACACAGGTGAAGACCGTTACTGCCGTCTGATGTCGATCAGCCAAGTCAATAGTGTATGTATTACTATCGTCACTCCGTTCCATGTTTGCTAACCCGGACAGCACAGAAACCAGTGAGGAAGCCGACCAAACAGCTTAACCGTTCGATATACGTTAAAAACTCTCTATACGTTAATAGTTTGGGTACTACACCGCAAACGGAACACACGCCATCCTGGACCTACACTCCTTTTCGAGAGGGTTTTTACTTCCGCGATAGCAAATTGGGTGGTAAATAGCAATAGTAGTAGTAGAAACTGGTCGTAAACGGACACCCAATTAGGATTAGTGGCCGTGAGGGTACTGTTGATGCCGCCAGCCGTGTCACCGTTGCTGTTCCCATCAGACCGCGGACGAACATCGAGGATGACGATAAGGTGAAGTGTTGGGTGAGATTTAGACAGATCAGTTGCGGGAGCGCAAGCAATGGCCTGCAACCCAGAGTGATGGCAGTAATGCTGTTTCTGGTTTATGCATGTTCGAAGGGAGTAGGAGATAAAGGGCGTAAGGCGCTGAGCAGGTGAGAGTAGTTGGAACAATTGGCGAATGAAGCCAACAAGAGGGGAGCTTAACAGGAAGAGCAGAGCGTGTGATCGCTCAGTCTGCTGGTAAAATTCTATGCTTCCGCGGCTACTGCCGATGAGAATATCAGGGTAAGGTAAGGTAAGAGGCGAGACAAGCTGAGGCAAAGATTTGCCTGTAAGACTGGCGGTCGATAGACCGCTCGTGCGGGTTAGCCTGGGGTTTCACTCGCCCCTACTATCACGTAAAGTCAGCCTCACGTAAGAAGCTAGCTCCCTGTCCGGTAAGATCCAGGAGTAGCAAGTTTGGTTGACGATTTGCCTATCCGTGCCTGGGTCGGGCACCCCACACAGCACCCTGCAGCTGCCACTACCGCTGCGGCGAATCGTAACACCAACGAAACAAGACAGTTACAGAGTGTCGGGGAGTAGACTCGTCTCAGATTAACGCCGCTGCTACATAGGACGGTAGTGGTGGGACCGCCGGATATGATGTGATGCCACGCTTCGGTAGCACTCTTGTTCCATTTTAAAGAGGAACGAGGTCAGAACGCAACAAAGCCTGGAGCTAAAAGTGGCTGTCCTCTAAGCTGAGAAAAGCGCCGCATCATACGAAAAGGAGAGGGAGGCCAAAGCAGCAAACATTCAATATTATTACCAGTTTCCTTTCGGCAAATGGGGGGCCCAAAAAATATTATTACGCATTAAACATCATCTATAAAAAAAAGTCTGTTGAAATCTTGCGTCAAGCAGGTTTTGCATTTTCCTTTTTCTAGGAGCCCTAACTTCTCAAACGAGCGATTGTCGTAATTTTCCTATATCACACCAGAAATATGTCAAAAGAATGAGATGTAAGTGTTTATTATATTTAATAAGTTTTGCTATCATGTTCCGCTGGGAGCCGAGCTCAGTCTAATTAGGAAAAGGCAATCTGTCCTGATTAGGCGCATCAAAGGAAACTTATCATATTCGACCCTTTACAGTTTGCTATCAACATATGAAATATTAACTGAAATTTGAAGATGGCCTCTTAAGTCTAGGCATTATTATAATTTTAGAGAGCATCAGATTTAACTAGAGCGTGGTCTTTTTTTTTTTGTTTCTGTAGACCTATGCACAGTAGATGCAAATACGCATCTCCAACAGATACCAACGACCGGCAGAGAGCATCATTCAATGATTAGCGCGGGGATGTAGTATTTTTCGATCTGTGTATGTATAGATGTATGTAGAGTATAGAGAATCGTAGCTGGTGTTCTATTCAATTGAATTATACCTGTCTAAATGAGTCGACAGCGGCAAAGGAGCTTTAAATGAAAACAAAAATTTGCCTTTGATGTATCAAAGTTATAGAAAGGAATTTTGATTAAGACTCTATTGAGGTATATGAGGGTCACCGAATCCCATAAGACCAGTTCGAGCATTTAGAAAAAGGTGGAATTGTTACAACTTAGATCGCAAGACGATATATAAATACTGATGAAGGTTTGTAATTGCATCACAGAAAACGCGTGACAATGGAATGCACGTAGCCACTAGTCCGAGCACCTTACCATGACAACTATAGGTACTATCAAAATTTACTTTTTCAAAATGCATGACGTAAAGCTTCAAACAAAGGTGTGATTCCCAGCCATATGTCTTTTTTTGAGCATTGCGTTTTCTCTAGAAGTGTAATAGACAACGCGGCCGAACGAACAGAGCAAACGTCATAAAGCGAAGTCGTCTCGAAATCGTTTACGCACTTCATCGTATTAGCTGTGCCTTGAACTAGATGAAAACAAAGAAAGCTACTATCACCTTATTTTGCTTCGTTCTTCACGTTCTCGCTAGGAACGCATCACTGTCCACATTAGACCTTCAGGGTGGACTGGGTTAAGTACTATGCCGGGACGACACAGGATCGACTTCTACTTTAGAACTGACAATGACGCAAGAATTGGCAGCGATGTCATCCGTCTATCATGAATCGATCTCCAAGCCCCCGGTATAGTAAAATTGAACTGAAAAAGGGATAACGTCGTAGATACACTCAGGAGTCGAACGAGGAATAGAAAGATAGAGCAGCATGTGTGCACTTGAAGCATAAATAATTACGCCGCACGTTACGATAAGAAAAAGATTATATGAGCTTGAAAATTGTATATGTCTTACCTAGTAGAGCAAAATTACCAGTCGACATAAGAACATTAGGTGGAGGAAATGTGTTCTAGACAACACCGACGGCTCTTCCGTTCAGTCATGAACCGCGGACTATGCCGCCTCCCGCAATATTTAGATCCGAAAATTTCATTGTGGGCCATAGATTAGGCTGATTAGAAAATTATCGATATCGTTTTACGACATCAGCGTAATATTCAATAGCAATTTCATTGGAAAAAGAGGCCTCTATTAACGATCGTTTTGTTCGATTAGTTGCGAACTTAATCATTAACTGTCTGCACATTTAGGCAGTAGAGAGGCAATGAAATTTTTTAAAACAATTATATTAACACGAGCTTGCATACACCGTCTCGTCTGGCTCGCAACAATGTGGCAATGAATTTTGAACTTATCGAGAAAAAAAACATGAAAATGTATGTACTCTAGGAGAAACTGACCCAATTGGCGGATTTATATGTATTCTATATTGTTATATCTTGCTATCACTATTTGAATGTGAACTTACGGTAATGCACTGAGCTCTGCCTTGTTATGCCTATCGTGTCATCCGGGGTACGTAGGCAACGAGGATTCAGCGCCTAGTCGGACTATGTATTTTCATATTTTTTTTTTTTTTGTTCATCCGCATAATTAAATAGCTACATTTTAAGTATTCGGACACCGGAAACGCGAAAGTCCTCGGAACGGTGTTGTGGTAAAGGCTGGTAACCAGTAAATCTATACATTGCATGATATTTTCTCAATTTGTTAGGGCACCATAGAACGATCAGCCGGAAACAACTCGTCCAATAACCTAGAATTATGGACGAGTCTGCCCAGCTGCTTAAAGTTACTCGAAGTTGTCAATGAAAGTGTTTGTGTACTGCAAGAACATACAGCATGTCTTCAAGTTAAAAAAAACTAGACGCAATTCGATGTATCCTAATATAGCATTGATAGAAGACGCCTTGTAAATGCAAACCAATAATACATTACATTATGCGTTTATTAAATTATCTCTCAAGAAGCTAAATAATGTTTTTATGCTGCCTCTTGTTGCCCGAAGCTGAAAATGACTCATAACATTAAGTTTATATATAAAGCTTAATAATTAAGCTTAATTTTAACTTAATAATTAAGTTAAAATATAGGAGATTATAGTAAGCGCATTGGTGCGGGTTTTTAGGCCCGAGTTGTCGCATCGCCGTAGTGGCAACGACTGTCGACGCGTTGAAGACTGAATTATTTTCTTGTAAGTGCCTTTTTTTCGCTTTAGTTTTCTGAACGACCTCAGAACAATAGTGGGGTTGTAATTATGATTACTGATGAGCTTTATAGCATTTTACATTTATACGCAAGATGCAAGCGAATACAGTATGTACATACGAATGACGTGTTGCAACGCTAGCACGCAGCGAACGGACCGAGGTTCAAGCAGCCCGAATCTCGTAGGCGACGCGGCATAGAGGCGTGACTACATAGTTATACGGGTACACCAGACAGAAAAGGAGAGAGGCGAATACAAACGGAAAACGTGCGTTGATCTGCAACATGCTAATAAAGGCACACCCAGAGAGCAGCGGATCCTGTTGCCTTAATAGCGTTTATCTTGGTAGCGTTGGAAAGGGAAAGACAATTGAAATTGAAAAACAAAATTGAAAAAGATCGTAGCGACGCGGGCGACGACTGCCCGAGGTCGCCGAAAGACGCCGACGAAGCTAACGAAAGAGCTACAAAGTGTTGGCTTACACAGCACGATCTGCTTGGACGCTGCGAGTCAATCCTGACGCCGTTAACAACGGAGAAAGAGCCACAGGCAAAAAGATGAATCATTGCCAACGAAGCAATCCGCATTCTGTAATATACAATATCACGCTGATGCTGGTGGCATAAAGGTACTCGAATCAAAAGTCGTGTGACTGCCCAAACATCGATGCCAACATTTTGACTGTTAAGTTTTTCTTGTACAACACAGTTCCTTGCTAAAGATCCCATAGCACCAAAGGAAAAAAATGTCGCAGCTGTACTGTCTCCTCTAAATTACTAAGGATAAAATTTAACAAGATCATAATGTTTTCGGCGTACCAGCAAAACGAGATCCGAAACATGTAATCACTTCTTAAAAATAATGAAAGCTTTACATACTGCGGCAGCGGGAACCAGCTCCTCGCCGAAGCAGACTATACCTTACGTTTCGGAGCCTGCGACTTGAGCACGCTATGAATGTTACGAAACCGAAATCGAATTCTCGCAGCTTAGTTGTACTATGCAAATCCGAAACTTAGCATTGACCATTGAGGGGGCTGGCTGCTTCCAGTCACAAGAGAGAATAGGAAAATATCAATGGGGCATTTTATGCCCTTCAAGCATCAGTACGTTGTTTAGAGCATGAGCGTAAGAAAAATCGAACCTATTATTTGAAAATAAATCTACGGAACCATTGAAAAATAGTTTGTACGCTCCTCTCTATATCTGGCATCGTGTTAATAATAATAACAAACCGAAATACTTTACAGTTTCAAAAAAACATCATTTTTAAATTATTTAACATTACTTACTTCAATTATTATTGTTATTAATTTATTTTAGTTATTTATTAGTAAAACGTCATTCCTCTGCTGCAGCGGCTTCGGGCGGATGAACAGAGACGCGCCTCAGCTCAGAACCTGTGCTGATAAAGACCGGTAACATACGACGACATGCCTTTACTTTTTTTTTTCCGAGGTGGCGACCATTAAATATTTACTTATTTCGCCCGTCGTAAGCGTTCTACCAATGCGGTGGTTACTTTGATACGGCTATTTTCACATTATAATTTCAATTAGGAAAATACAATTGCCCATTTTATGTTTATGGTCAGAATTTTAACGTAACAATCTCTGCTATTTATAACAGGATCGATTATTAATGGTACTAGTTATCTTTACTGTAATATTTTCTAATGTGCGCAAGCTAATTACAGCGGGGGCCTAGATTTATTTTATGAATTTTCAACAAGTAATTGCGGTGTTTCCTAACAGAATAGCTATGATCGTCTATCGGGCTTAATGCAAACTCGACTATCGCTCAGGGCGGTTTAGTCGAAGGCGAACTTCGGCTGACCCCATAAAACCGTTTCGATAATATGAAGAATGTATATCGGTGCCTTTCTTGCACGAGTGGCATATAGGAAGTTAGTGCCCCGGCTATTTGTAGACATGTGTCAAGGCTACCCCCTGGACAGCCAATACTAAGTTACTGATTAACTTAGAAACAAGAAAAGCAACGAATTACGTTCTTTAGATAACTATCGTATCGATAGAATTAGAGTAGATCAGATACAGTATAGCCTAGTAATTATGTATGCTCTAAATATGCCTTTTGAACATTCTCCGTCAGCTCCGGCCGACGTACCGGATCATGTAAGCATCAGTCCTAATATATGTATAATGTTAAACGGATATTTACAGTTTTCCGGTGTTAATTTGCGTGTTTTGTTACTTTGTCGAAAAGTTTTTTGGGAAGTTGTAATACTAGCGACCATTTTCTTAGCTCTGAATTGTAGGTTTAATAATGCGACGGTGAAGTCCACGGACTCTTTCAGTATAGCTTTCACACTTCGTATAACTTAATCGTATTTACGATAAGGTGATAACGCCATAGCCTGTACGGTGTTATTAAAGACTTAAACCCATTCAGGTCCGCCTTCAAAAACATGGTATTTTATTTGAATATTTTGAACCCAAGCTCCAATTGGCAGCTCGTTAGATAGCTAAAACTCCACCAGGACCGGTTTTATAGCTTTGATAAATACAAGCGTACATTTCACTACTTCCGATTTTTTTTAAGTCGCTAAAGCACGAAAAAGCGTATACCCAAAACTACTTTTCATGCTCATGAAAACATCACCCGCAAACAGATTTGGCTTGTATACGTTTAAGAATCGGTGTGTTTCTATATTTACAGCCCTGTTTATTAGATCGAACGTGGACCGTCGTGTTCAGGAACTACTCGGTGTGTGTCAATGGTGCACCGTTCTGCAAAAGGGACAGGACGAAATCTACAATGTGCGATGTCATGCTCGGGCACGAACGGCACGTTACGAATATTCATTTCGCCCTCTCAGAGGTTCCGCTTGCCTTGCTGTTATCCCTACGTTATTGGGAAGAAGAAGAAGAAGACAACGATCACACCTCCAGGTAAAAAAAAATTATTACACGTTACCGCTAGGTGTACACGTAATTTTCACGTATTAATCGTACGGTTAAACAATATTTGGGCAACAAAAGCGTTTTCACTTTACTAGGCAGTCCCACTATACACTCTATTGCCCTGTATAGGCACACAAATGCAGCTTTAGTGAACAGGACTATAAAATAGGCAGCTAATAAAAAATAACGGACAGTATACGTGAATCGTTGCCAAGCATAGACGTGGAGTATCATGGTCGACGCGTTGAAAATTGTCAGAAACACTCTTACGGCCATTCGTACCCCTCTGAAAATATTACCGATCAGATAATTTTATTCGCACTTCGCCTACTGATGACCTGGGATTCAGTAAAAGAGGGGCATTATTAGTTCATACGATCAACTTTTCAAAGGAGACGTCGATCCAAACAAAATTTTCCGAGTATATTTAGGTCTTGCGAACTCGAAATTCTGGATTTCTAGGAACGTTTTTATCGCACCTTATGTGTTAAGGACGAAGCTACACTACTACAATAACAGGACGCCACTGACTTAAATAAGATGCGACCCAGAGCTAAGCTTGTGTAAATAAAGAAGATTATATAATAAATAATACTGCGCAATAATTATGGTTGAAGTAATTATTTACATGTCCATTATAAGTCAATGCTGCGCGAAATATATTGCGCTATAATCTCATTCAAATGAGAAAATACAGGAAATAATTTGATAAACAGAGATTGCTTTCACAGAGCATTCGTCTCAGATAATTTTCTGTTTGTACAATATAGGTATTAGGTGGGAGTGTCACACAGGTGGCCTAAACGGTTAGATCTCTTGTTGAAAGAGCTGGGGCCGCTGGTTCAATGGGCGTCGTTTTCGTATTTTACAGTCTAAGAGATCCACGAGGCTTATGAATGAGTGCACAACCCTAATAGTAAGTTTGCCCTGGGACATTGTTTAGTAACAAGGGATGCATAAAAATGACTTTAATGCTAATGTCTCCTAGATCCTTATTTTTTTTTTCGTAAGAATGATAATATTACCGTTTGACAGTGCTTGTTTAACCTGAACTTTGTTAAAGAGAATATGCTAAAAGACGACATATCAGCATATCTTCAAATGACTGCATTCAGTAAATATGATTGGACTTCGCGAAGGGCTACTGTAGGGCTGATGTGCTTCTACTGCTCTTCGCCGAGTGTCGACACGCAAGTTCAGGAACCTATATATAAAGACAAAAGCCGTTCGACAGCGCGCGGCGGGAACCAAATGTCCGTTTCAATGGAAGTAGCGAATTCTGTGTGATTCTTTATCACTGGTTCCCTAAAGGGCAAACGATTCTATAACAAAGCTGCTTGGACAGGCGATTTCCTGCAACTGCAGCTATCGCATTGATCGCATAAAGCGCTTTCTTGCATTATCGCCCTAGCAAGCTAGCCGTTCCGCACCATCCATGTACAGAGCTTGCGTTTAGTGTCCCTTATGGGCAGCTACACGGAAAGGAGGGCAAGAAAATGGAGTGCGAAGCTTGGTGACGACGAACTCCGCTTTGAACTCCACCGCTGATCTCCGACGTCCTTTCGGCAGCGTTGCTGATACAGTCAGCATTCACACGTTAAGCGGATTTAGCGAGACGTCCGATAGACAACTGACCAAGACACAGAAGCGACAATAAGAAACGAACAAGCGATAGAAAAAACACGACAAGGCAGCATGAATCCCTAATAAATAGAAGGGGGAAGCTGCTGCGGACGTTGTTGTGGCCGCCCGTGAAAATCTAAAAAGAATTAAAGAAAAAGGATCCGCTTTGAGAAATAGTAAACGCCATGAGCAGCAGCGAAGGGGTAAAACAGAAAAATAGTGCTGAAGTTAGATGATATGTGTCCTTCGGTGTCCTTCAGGTGATATGGACCGTCGAAAGAAACGAAACCTGGTTTAACATTTGAAAGACGCGAACGTGACGAGAGCAAAAGTGGTCGGTCTATTTGTGTCTTCATGCGCGTATCGACGCGAGTGCAGCAGGGTAAATAGTGCAAATCGCTAACTGTGGCCCTCAAAGCAGGCTTTTCTTATCAGTCAATTGCGGCCTCTCCCAGCGTGCATCCTCGGCTAGCAATGCTTCGACATTCCGACTGCAGCAGCAACGACGCTACCAGCGCCTACTGCTTCGTTCGCCGCTTACGCCTTCCATTGAATGAGCTGGTGGCCAGCTGGTTAGGTTAGGTTCGAGTTGGATGGGTCATAGTATCTCTTATTCGTCATCCCTGGTCCATCCGCTACTAGACGGCTCCGACCTATTCATCCGATTTCACATCCACATCTTCTCCGATAGGTTTCTGCTTAGTTTTTTCAGTGGTTCCCTTTGAGTAAAAGCACGTATGCGATGAAACACAGAAGTAAAAGGAGCGAAGTGCGGGGAAGCGAGTGGAGAATTGGACGGTACTGTAAGGAAGAGGTACAGACTGCACGCACAAACAGAATGGAATTAGCGAAGGTAAAGTTCGGAAGTTTAGACCTTGAGGAGTTGGACAGGTTGGGTAGAAAGGGAGGTAGACTAGCAGTAAGGGAAACGTATCCAATACTCATCTTCTTCTCGAAGAACATTAGCTCTCGTAAGACTGCGGTGACCTCAGGGGTGATCAGTGAAAAAAGAAGGGTAGGTGGGAACGGCGAAAGGCTCTCGCCTGCTGTTGTTGTGACCTTACTGGCCTTTGTGGAAATTGAGGTGTGATACAGCCGCGGGCCATTGACGGCCGAGTTGAGCGTCAGTCCCAGGTAAGTGAGCAACTCGACTGGGATTTTATTATCTTTTTGTTTTCCTTCGTGTGTTTCGATGTGTCACATATTGCATCTCCGCTTGGCATTGGGCTTAGCGCCTTTCCAACCGAAGGAAGTTGAGTCAAGACAAGTCCACCTTTGCTATCGCTACCAAGAAGAAGAAGAAAAAAGATAAGCAGTAAACGCAAGAAAAAAAAGAAACGAGGCTTTCTAAATTGAAGGTTTTAGCCCGGCAGGATAGTAGCAACAATGGATAAAGCGTCTTGTTCAAAGGACTACGAGAGAAACAACTTAAATGGTTGACCAAATTAACCAGGACTTCCTCAATCTAGCCGTAAAGTGATTAGGCCCAACTAACACCGAAGGAAAACTCTTAGGCAAAAACGTCCGACCATTGCCAAGAACAACAAAGTGACAGATTGAATTCATGGTGGTTGATAGATCCGAATGGCCTCTACAGAGGTGAATTGTTGATTTTACTAAACTTTAAGTATTTGTTGTTGTAGCTCGTGTCGCATCGTTGTTGTTTACATAACTAGTACTACTATTGTTGTCGTGTCAATGTCGTTACCGCGCTGCCGTTTTAAGGAAATGAATAACGTATTCGGTTTAAAGACCTCACCCAGACTCTTTGCCATCGCGTCTGCGTCGCCATCCATTGACCTGCGATGCTTTACGTCGTCTTAACTCGGGATAATCATTTCTGTAACAATGTCTTTACCGCAGTTTCTGATCTACCGATCTCCTTCGGTAGTCTCCTCTCGTACTATTCTTTTCTTCTTCGAGTATGATAAAGCAAGTTATGTTACTATCGGATAAAACGTACTTGAGCTTCGTACATGAAGGAATTAACAATAAATGACGGCTTTACATTATTTCGTTTGATGACTGTTTTCTGTTAACCGAATATGGAACTATGTGGCAAGCTGATTTCGTTTCTTGTCTGCTGACGCACCGTTGAAGAACATGGCTGTAGTGTACCTTTATACAACTCAAGTAGACAGGGATTTGAAGCATCGCTGAATACTATACCTAATTGAACATCAGTTTCTTCTAACTTGCTGTTCAATAAAAAAAAAAAAAAAAAAACTACATCGGGAGGCAGATATCTACCAGCTTCATTTAGCTGTGTTCGGTTTAAAAAACACAACTAAAAAGGCATAGTTACTGTTATCCTTGATAGGGCTTTGTCTGTTCTGAGCTTTCATTACTAACGCGGACGATTCTGAAAGCATTCTTCTTGGTTTTCAGTTGTCAAAAACCACTCTACCAAAGCGACAGGCGGACCTAGCGGACAGATAGCCCGTGGGCCCCACGGATACGAGTGATAGACGAAGGGGACGAGGGCTTGCTCCACTTTGCGGTGCATCGCTTGGGTCGGGAACGACCATTAGGAACTTCGAATCGATTCCCAAGCATTTACAGCCTTTCCTTTTTCGAACTACCTGAAACTTTTCGCTCCCACTAGGAAGTGAACCAATAAAAGGATGAATAAAGAGTTAGACTCCCAGTCCTAAATCTGAGCTGCGTCAGGATCATATGTTTGATTGCAACTATTCTTGACTGGCATCGCTCAAGGCAGCAAAATATCAATACGATATGTAATAGAGATGGTAACAACCAAACTCGCTAAGGTGAACGACACCTATATTAGGACAGCCCTAGTAGGTTTAAGGGTCTGTAAAGTCGGCAGTTCGGCTTTCTTATTCAAATGTACATTGCGCTATTTCAAAGTAAACCAAACACTATCCGACCGTACTTGCATGCAAATACTTGGAAATCATAATCATTAATTTTACCGAACATTATGTGACAGAACATAGACTCATTAATCTGTTAACTAAAGACAGAACCTATGTTGGCTATTATTTCTTGTAGGCTACTTTGAAGCCCAAGAGATTTGCACGGATTTGAACCTGAAACAACCAATAGCTTGAGGTGGGCAAGGCTAATGACTGTCTTCATTTTTGCAGGTTAAAACCCCTTCAGTTGGCATGTTTCATTAGTTCATCAAATCTTTACGAAATTTCTTTCAAAACATTGAAAGGATTAAATCTATTATAAAAAAGATCACGTTTTCCATTTGCAATTATCACTCCTTAAATAGGGAACCGAGCTCACAGTAGCAAGCGCTATTTAGGAACACTATTCGTTCTGTCATTATATAACCTATCTCACTCGGAATTCGTAGAATTTTCTTAAAGAACATTTAAATTGTTTCGTATGAACAGCACATGTCGGTTTCGACCCGCCTATTTTTTTTTTATTTTAGTCTATTATTGTTATAATACTATTACATCTTTCGACGATTTAGAGATAAAGCCGATCATCCCTTATTCTCACTTTTCTCGCTGTAAACTTCTATACATTCTATTGGAAATATTTACAACTATGACACATAACCCGTGAGTAAATACATGTGTAAATGTGTGAAAACGAATGGACCCGTCAAAACAGTAATACTCCATTACTTGCTTTTGTTTGGAATCAATTTAAATATGTAGGAGCAAATTCAATTTTCCACTGTTTACGGTGCCGCTTTGGGTTGAAAACGGACTGAGCCCGTTCTGCCGCCAGCGGCGAGCAGAACAGACGAATGGCGTCGTTTTCAAAGGAGTAGTTTATTTCGTTGTGAAAATGGCGTTTAGCCCATAAGTTTAATTGAGTAAAATGAAGGTTGGGTAGACGCTGCTACGGAAATAGAGCGCTTCCAAGAGGAGTAGCTCAATGCGCAAGGACTTGTATCAGTTCCGGCCACTTAGTATCAGCACGTTGGCGTTCGAGTTCATCGAGATTCAATCTAGAGACTGTTACGCAGGTTTTCAAAGTACTGTTAGCGGACTTGTAGGGTCACATTGTCGCCCCAGCGCTATGTAAATTCTATCGGTGTGTTAGACTCCTGCAATGTCCATGCTTAACCAGTGAAGTGCACCTAGCTAGTGCAAAACTACAGGAGATTCAATCATATCTATATTAAAGCTGTGTATGCAGTGCTCTAAAACAATGAAAGCAAGATGCGATAAACAGAAAGTTTTTCAATTTCTCTTTATAGTAGCAGTCTTTCCTTTTACTCTCTGCGGACAGACAATTCGCACGCTCCCTTTTTTTCCTTCTCTGTTTCATTGATAGGACTCATGGTTTCCCTAACCGATTACTTGTCTCCCTTTCAGAAGGAACTCTGTTCACCGCCATCTGCTGGCTTCGGCTTAGATCGAAAGTAAACCTCTGCTAACCACCCAACCTCTCTGTCGCCCGTTAAGTTCATGCCTGTTACCACTGAACGTAACGTTGCTAATGTGCGGAAACGAGGTAAAGGCTCCGCTCCTAGTTTGAATCGAGATCAGAAGCACTGTTTGTGGCCAGCCAGCATCCCGCCTGGATGTTGTTTGTAACATCAACTGGACCAAATATCGCTACGCTGTCGCTCATTCTTGTCGGCTTTCTCATCAGAACGAACACATAACTACTAACGCGCACAAGTCGAGACTTCCGTTGGACACAGGGATCAGCCTGTCAATTGGCTTTCATCACTCCTATAATCGTTAATGATGAGTAGCATAGTAAAGAAGAACCCGCTAGTACAAGGGTATAAAAACTAAATATCCCCATGGTTTTCTCATGGCGTAACGACGCCGAAAGATGCCAGCACCAATCAAGATTCTCCAAAGTGTACCCTTCATATTTAAGCTAAACCCACTACGAGAAGCTTTTTAGATCTAGGGTAGTTTTAGGTTCGGCTCTATTCATATAAATACAATTTAAGATGTCCGGTACAAAACATCTTGCCACAGGTTTAGGAAGAATTATTACTATAGTAGCCCTCGGAAAAGTTTATATACGTTTTAGTTTTCCTCAATGCATTCGCCCCTTATCCTTGTACGCAGCGTCACGATGTAGGAACGGAATAATCTGGAAGGTACTCTGGCATTTACAGCTTAGCGCGTTTGTTTCTACTTTTGAAGTTCCGAAGTCGCTGAGTTCAAGTGAAGCTCTAGTCCCCCCTGCAAGAGTTCGTTACTCTTTACCGGCCTTTATCTTCTTAAGTAGCACGAGTCAAACGGCGCACATAAATGAGTGAGTAGATCGAAGGCCTTCGAAGTTTCATGGGCAAGCGTTTGTTAGGCGGGGTCAAAACAGCAAACTATGTTACGGGCAGTAAAAACGAACGTTCGAAACTGCGTGATTTCTTCATAAACTTCACGCCCATTTTGCGGAATATGCGTGATTGGTGAGTATACGTTCATACATTCAGTGGCCCTGAGTTTTCAAGCTGAACTATACATCCAATTGGGGCAGTTGGTCGCGATTGGGCGACCTTTTTAAAATATATACGTTTGATAATCTAATCACTGTGTATCAACGATTAAGTTAAAGCGTCATACAAAAGTAAAATTCTACTAAAAAAAAGGATCAGTTCAGGAATCGTTTTAGACAATAATAATAATAGAGACAATACGTTTTGTACGAAGGTACCCACACGCATTTGGATTAAGGCTCTCAATTCCAGCTCCTCGGTGAGACAAAGCATTGTTATATAGGGAAAAAGTTTTTCTAATTTAAGTTTCTTCCATTACATTCGAATTAATTCCAACTGGTTATTAGTTTGTTAGATTCCAGGAACAATTACAAGCTTTTAAGTATGATGTATTAAATGACTTCGTTGCATCGCGAGAGTAAATGAATTCTGATTTAGTTTTTTCTTGGGGAAGCAAAGCAGGACGACAAAGGAAAAAAATCAGATAGAAATTAAAACGTATCATGCTTGCATGAGGAAACTTCCAATGCTGAAACTCCAAATGTATTACATCGCGCATGACGGCCATGTTTGTATTTTCGTCGCGGCGTTAATGCAGATCGTATAGGCGATATAAGGTTTTGTCACTGCAGTCTGTAAGAATCCGCAGTAACCTTCCATATTTGTATAATGCCGTTTTATGTAATGGACATGGTCAATTTTTCGACCGGTTGAAGGTTCAAAACTGATGGGAATTGTATTTCGTAATAATCTGTTGTTTAGCTATCCTTTTGCCAGGATGCGACGTAAAATATCTAAGCGTTCAAACCTTGTGTGTACGTTTGCACGAGGGACGTCTATCAGTGTATGCTTCTACGTGCAGAAGCTGTATGAATTTAGTTATACGTGGGTCATACCATTACCGCACTGTGCTTTCGGTATGTTATATTATACAATGGGCTTTGCCGATTTTCGTCTATGTTCTAGTTAATATGAACAGCACCGTTGGGTGGCCACCTCGACGTTCGGGAACTTCGTGTACCTTGGGATCGTCAAGCGATCCGCAGTGATTTGTCCAGTCGAGGCTGCGTCAAAAAACATGCCTCTGTGTCTGCCAGTTTGTCATGGCAGTCGTATTATAAAGTTACAGCGTATACCTCTAAACTTCTAAAAATTAGTCTTCGGCCCCTCAACCGAAGTTACCATCTTCTCTACGAACGTCGTGGCGCGTCTATTATTGGAAGACTTCACAGTGGCACTGGTCAGTGCCAGCTATGTAAAGGCGAATCACTTTAGCAGGCATGTAAGGCTATAGCTACGCTATTGAAAAAGGATTCGTTCTTGTGCAGATTGTCGCAGCATATAATTGATATTAGTTAACTACAATTGAATTATTGACTCAGACATTAGAATTTCGACGAGAGTATACTGTATTAGCCGAACGTCATTGTGCGCTACCGAAACGATAGGCTGGCCCATTAAAGATTAAATGTATGATATAAAAGCAGTGTTCCCACTCGTTGACACAACTGCTTTATTGGACGATTGACCAAAGATTCATACAGACTGGTACGTTCTAACTGGGTGTTCCAAAGACAACTGATTCAAGTATCAACGAGAAACAACCGACCCAAGGAATCGAAAACGATCCTAAAGTATCGCACATCAAGACTGAACTGCAAGGGAGCTGCAAAAGCATCAAGAAAAGGTTAGAAACCAAAAAAAAAAATACGTATCCATACCAATACGTACACAGCACTACCCGTGTGGCTAATTAGTAAAGGCATCTGTGTTATACTTTCTCTTTTGTAGCTTTTACAAAACTAAGCTATAGCTAAATTTTTTCAATATTCCTCAGGCTATCAAGCTAGACAAAAGGCAAACAATTCTCGTTTAACAACAGCTATATAGCTATGTACCACTAGATGAACTTTTCGAGAGGATATCGTACAGCCAGCCTGAAGGCAGCAACGCTTTCTCACAGCACTTAGAATTTTTTTTTTTTGCTATGCCAAGTCTAACTGAAATTATTATTTTTGATAATGGCACAATAGATAGAGCGGATCTATATTCTCCAGCTAAACCATCATAAGGCAGCCAGCAATGGCGCATTATCCGCTGATTGAGGGCGGCCTGTGCTAGGCATTTTGCTGCTGTAACAGCGGCTGTTGCTGCTTAAAGTACGGAATATCATGAAATCCTGAAATCAGGTCAGAGAAGCAAACCTGGAGCAAACGTCAGCCATTGGACCGGAATGAAGCTCTGCCGGCGACTCGTTGATCTTATATTCGGCAGCGCGCCATTGTTTGAATAAATATTTACAATGTTTTTGTTTCACTACGCTACACTGGGCTAAAGGGTGCTGTGTGTAAACGGCTTACCTCATAGCGGTCTAGGACGTGTACGACGAGGACAAAATTTCCACTGGGTAAAAAAAAGTTTCCCTGCACATAAATTGCTATTTCCAACGAAACGACAATAAAGATTAACATAACAAGATTAGTTTCCTAATACTGATAGCATTACTACTGGATCATGCTGCTGTAATAAAGAAGGGAGGATTAGGGTATAGCGAACAGTTAAATAAAAATGAAACTCATAATTAAGAGCGAATAGATTCTCTATTAAAAAAAATAATACTTACGGTCGAGACAGGTGCATTGTTTTCACAGTAAACCTACTCTTAATTGATTGCAAAGGATCTTTTTCCTAACTATAAATATATGTTTTACCTCATTGTAAGCCTAGTCCCTGCCTCTTTCGATCTTTTGCAGGGCTAAAATTCCCAATTTAGGGGAGTCATCAGTAGAAGATAAACTAGTAATGCTTGCACAATGGGAATATGCTGACCTATGCTAGTGAAGTGGCCTGAGCAGCAGATATCAAATGATATTTATGTGTATTTTGGGGATTCGCCGGGTGAGCGCTCAGAGCTTCAAAGCAGATCCAACTTTGTGTGCCCATGCCGAAATGAGTGATTATTGCTAGAACCTATCATACTAATCAAAATATTTTCCATTGAAGCTAACAATGAATCGTTATTCCAATTCTTCATGCGTATATATATATATATATATATATATATATATATATATACGCATGGGTGGCGCGGATGTCCAGGTGGAACGCATAGGGTAATATGGATCCACCGATTTCTGGCATCTATAAGGCGCTAGCTTATAACTAATTAATATTCGGAAACAGGCATGCTTATTTCCATACTCAACGAAGATATTGCTTGTTTAGGGTTACAAATTTGACTAACAACGGTTACAGGACTGCCTTCTGAAAAAAAAATAACTGTAGGAAAATACGCCCTTACGTGCGCCTAAACTTGCCGAAAATGTTAGCGACATTTAGGCCCCTAGTTTAACAGAAGTCGACATTTCACAACAATCTCTTATACATTAAATGTTCTCCACCTTAGGAACCGTTAGGCTTTAATGCATAGCAATTACTGCTGGAGTAAACCTAAAGGTTGTACGAACTCCACGCAACTAAAAAGTAAGAACAGATGTTAACGAAGTTACTACTGACATGAGTACTTCTACTATTTAAACGTCTCTGCGCTAACACAGCATACGCAGCAGCATCCTGCAGTCTATGTATTATAGTTTCGTTATAGGACATTAAACAATTCTTGGTCGGAGCGAGGTGAATCACCAGGCATCATTTGGCATAAAAGTGTCATTTAGTACAGGGCTAACAAGCTTGGCCTACAGGGCCTCAAGTTGTTCAGGACGTTCCAGCATGATCCATATAAAATACGACTGTCGCCACAGTATCTCTCTAACGCAATAGCCTTTTTCCTATTTATACCATCTGGACCTAGCGCATAAAAAGTGCTATAATTTGGCGGAGCGGACCTAAATATCGCTCTAGTCAAATCTTTTTAATATAGGAATAAGCTCATTCACATAAAGATAATGTGTACATGTAAATAAGTGACAATTCTTACTAATTTCTAGGTCAAAATAGAACATTGGCGGGGCATTAGTACATACGAGGAAGCCAGTTATTTCGCAAGTTCGTAGATATTTAAGAGCGAAAGGATTTTCACTATCGTCGCTTAATTTGATCACCACCAGCTGAAAGAGGCCTGTAGCCGGGCGCCAAATACACTTCTTCAATTTAGCTTACCAGCCTAATGCTCTTGTCCGACGCCATAGATCGCCACTAGCTCACACCCCCTATGCTGTTCACGTTGTTGCGACAGTCGTAGATAGATAGCATCAGTAACAGTTGTAGAATACAACGCTAGGGCTCGCACCAGCGCCCATTTGCCTTCGGTTCGACCGACCACGGCTCTACTTAACCCCATCGCGATGGTATGCAGGAAGAAGCTGCTTGCGTTCAGAGTAGTGATGGGTGTTAGGGGGCGTCAGCGACGTTTGCGAAATAGTCCCCCCCGAGCCTGTAGTAACAGTAACGGAAGTGTGTAATCGATTGAACGGGAGAAGCAAGAAAGAACGCCACACAGTACGGATCTTGAATCCAGCCTCTTTGCTCTCTTAAGAT